GAGTATAGCTCAGAGTCCAGACGACCTCCTGACACCACTGCTGCCTTCTAGTCTCTGTCCCTTTGCAGCTGCCCCAGCAAATCTCAGCCTTGTCTCCAGAAGCCATCTCAAAATACCTGCTTCAGCCCCCTCAAGAAAAACAAAAACAACCTCCCACCCCCCCAAAATACCAAGGTGTCTATGAATGGACTTGGTCTCAGGCAACATCCCAACACAACTGACACTAGTCCTCCTGGTGAATGACAGCAGTGGGAGTCTTGTTTTCAAGAAGACCCTCCTCCAAAGAGAGGAGAAACAGCCTCAGCCCACAGGAACCCGTTTTATTCATAGGCTGAATTAACAAAGCTTCTCAGTCCTGCGATCCTAAATTCTAGACTTAAATACTTCTCTTTCTAAAAGGTAAAACTTAAAATTTGTCTTGAGCAAAAAAATAAATGACCTGAACAGTTCTTTCTGAGCCTTTAAAATGCTGGATACATTGATTACCAAGAGACCTGACCAACATTATTTGGCACCTAATTTAAAATAGTTGGTGGGAATTAACACAGCAAAAGCAGATTAACTCAGAAAAACTGTCCAGCATTTGAAAAGTCATTTCATTTGCGTGATTCAACAAATGTCTGTCCAGGTATTTGAAACACACCTGCAGAAGGAATGCATGCTAGGCTTTTAAGCACTTGGCCAAAATGTCAAACCCTGCTTTCAAGCCATTTCTCTCTTTTACCCTTACGCAAAACTACTTGTGAGGCTCAGGTCAAAGTTCTATTTTTTGTTGCTGTCATCTTCTGACATCCCTGTCACAATCTTTTACTTACCTCTTTTCTTGATCAATCTTCTCTCCTTTCACTCTGATTCCTACTACAATCTTAAGACTCCATTTAGATTTCTAATTCCCATAGTCCCTTTGGAAGGCGTCAGGCCTTGATTGAATTGATTTCAGAAACCAAATTCCCACTTGTTGACTACAACTTCCTCTTTTGTGACTCTGATTTGTTCACTGTCTTCAAATTTTTCCCAAGCCATCAACCTCATTTTGGTTTTTCTTCCTTCCCTAACCAACTTAGTCCCATGATCTATTTCCTAACTAGTTTTCCTACAATATGTTCTGTTTGTTTCTAAATTCCCTTCATAATAGCTTAAAATTATAAGATTATTTGATGAGTTATTTATTTTAAATATATTTTTATTGATTTCAGAGAGGAAGGGAGAGGGAGAGAGAGATAGAAACATCAATAATGAGAGAGAATCATTGATCGGCTGCCTCCTGCATGCATGCCCTACACTGGGGAAGCAGCCCGCAACCCGGGCATAGGCCCTGACTGGGAATCGAACCCAGACCTCTTAGTTCATAGGTCGATGCTCAACCACTGAACCACTGGGCGATAAGTTATTTAATATGATCTGTCTGAGCAGCAAGCTTGTTGAGCAGGAATAATTGCCCTATCTAATGTAATCTCTCTAATGTCTAGCACAGGGCCTGACACTTAACTGGATGTCCAATAAATATGTATTGAACAAATGAAAGAAAGGCAGCACAATACTGAAGGAGATTAGAAAACCATGCCTCTGGATGCCACAGTACCTTCATGGTCTCAGGACAAAGGTATCAGAGATGACAGCAACAACACTGAGCTGACTCAGCTGAGCACTTAACACCTCCAGACAGTCCCCCACCCCCATCCACTTCCCTTGCTATTCCAAACTCTCCCTGAGTCCCATTATAACTCCTGCTTCCTTCAATTCTCCAGCTAACCTGGTGTTCTACAACATCAAGATAATGGAGGCTAGCTGGTGTGGTTTATCCCAATCACTCTCCCGCACCTGCAGACTTATTTCCCTTTCCTAATCTGAGTGATGATGCACCCAGCTGCCAAAAGTTAACCCTTTCATTTGTGTCCTTGACCCCTTTCCCTGGTCTTCTACAATAGTTTCAGTGACTGCTCTCCTCAGCCTAGAAACATGCTTAAGTCTGTTTTCCCACATCCTTAAAACAAAACTCTTATGTGACCCTATATTTAAATTCTCTTTCTTTACTATTGAAATTCCTTAAAAGGAAGTCTATACTTGCTATCCCCATTTTTATCCCTTGCCAGTCATTTTCTATCTACTCCCATCTTGCTTCTGTCCCATCCATTCCTCTAAAACTCCTTCTCATCCTGTTTGCCGATAATTTCCCAAATGACAGATCCAATAGACAAAAATCCTTCGGTCTTAGCTTATCACCAATTTCTGCTCTTCATTTAGCTTCTGGACCCTTAATGTGCACTGGCAAGTCACTTTTAAGACACCGAGTCCACCTAGTACCTATATAAGCATCCCAGCTTGATATTCTATGGCAGATACTGTATCCTACCTTACTGCTCTTAACACACACACACACACACACACACACACACACACACGCACACCTATTGATTTCAGAGAGGAAGGAAGGAGAGAGAGACAGGAACATCAATGATGACAGAGAATCTCTGATCGGCCACCTCCTGCACGCTCCACACTGGAGATTGAGTCTGCAACCCAGGCATGTGCCTGGACCAGGAATCGAAGTGTGACCTCCTGGTTCTTAGGTTCATATTCAACCACTGAGCAACACTGGCTGGTCTACTCACTGCTCTTAAACTGGACAGATTATCTGGCCTTCATAGTGCTTTGAAATTCACAACTAATTGTACTTAAAAATCAGAATTTTCACCTTCTCTTGAAAGATGAGAAAATTTAAACACATATGTCCACCTTTATACTTAGCAAAAGCTGTCCAGAGCTGAGCAGTAACTGTCTTTTTAGATATCATTTAGAGCACATGTGTCAAACACAAGGCCCGCGGGCCAAATCCGTCCCGCCAGGCCTTGTAATGTGGCCCGCACCGCGCTGTCATCACTGCACTCCGCTGCGTTTCCATCACAATGACAGTTTATGACTGTTCAGTAAACCATTTGGCCCGCGATTTAGGCTGGATTTTAGATTTTGGCCCCTACTCTGATTGAGTTCGACACCCCTAATTTAGAGGTAAGTGTTATGGAGAAAAACAGAGTAGTGTAATAGGGAGTGCTGCTGTGTATATTTAATTTAAAAAAATATATATTTTATTGATTTCTTATAGAGAGGAAGGGAGAGAGATAGAGAGCCAGAAACGTCGATGAGAGAGAAACATCAACCAGCTGCCTCTTGCAACCCCCTACCGGGGATGTGCCCGCAGCCAATGTACATGCCCTTGACCGGAATCGAACCTGGGACCTCTCAGTCCACAGACCGATGATGCTCTACCACTGAGCCAAACCGGCTTCGGCTAATTTATTGAGCTTTCTTGATGCCAGATCTAATGTTTAAGAGTTAATTTATTTTTCAAATTCACTAAATGCACATTTTTAGATAAATGTATGAAGCTGCAATTGACCCATAGCACTTTCCCCTCTATTTTTCAGATAGTATTTATAAGAAATTAGACAGCTATGAACGAAGAGATCACACATATTTTGCAATATTCTCGAGTACAATGTGAAGCAATGAGAATTCCAAACATTTTAGTTAGGATTTGGGGGGGGAAAAAAAAAAAAAAGAGGAAAACATTCAAATCAAAATGATCCAAGAGTAAATTTAAATTTCATATGTGTTTTAAATGTGTTTTAGGAAAAAAGTTAAAGCATCACATATTTGCTTCAGTGTAGGAACAATCATTGCAGTCTAACCCTACACCTGCTGCTTCAATTGTTTTAAGGCACTGGTTAAGCTAGGTCCTATGAACTACCCCAAATGGTAATTTGGGACAAGGAAAACATGAACAAAAGAAAATGATTTTAACTGCCAAAGGCAAAATTTTTGTACAATGATTAGAAGGAAAGATGCAATCCTCTCACATGGCAATAGACATCTGGTGAGGCTGTACATAAATCTTACAGACTTACTTAGTCCTCAGGGAACTCTACACACCACAGAGATCCACCTTTTAAATGTCCAACTACAGGAACCATGGTTTCTAAAAGGAAGGTGGCTAAAGATATTCAACATCTAACCATTCTATCAAAACAATAAGACATGGTCCATTTAGTTTTTCTTTTTTTTTTTTTAATAAAACAAGGAAAATAATAAGAGACAGGAGTGTGGCCTTATTCACCATTATAAGAGGACAAAATGTGAGATGTATAGACAGTTCTGATAAGTAGACAACCAGTTACAACTGAAGCACCACTACTGATGCCAGATATTGGGAGAGTTGAGGCTTGCAACAGAGAAAGGAGAAAATAATGTACATGTATTTCTTCTTCTTTTTGGCTGTATGAATACATTTATTTATGTTTACTATCACAAAATACTGTTATATGGACTAATTGTGTTTTCTATTTACCTTGTTTTTCTCATATATTTCCTTTCTTTTCATCTATTAGATAAAGAATATGTATTCTATTTCTATTTTGCATGCTTACCTTAAATTTTAATAAGCATATTTCATGCAGCAAGCCAATATTTCTACTTTGTAGACATATTTTTTTCCTAACTACGCTGGATGTGGTGGTAGTAATGTGCTTTGAAAGTCAATGTAATTCCAAGTTAAGAAAATTTTAAATCCTACACACATATAATACAGGTCTTACTTTTAAAAATAAAGATTGCATTTCAGCCATACTCTGAAAACTAGAATACTTGGGTCTAGGAAAGGAAAATAAAACAAAATGCTGATAAACTGCAATGCCATTTCGGTAATTCCAGACCAAAACCCAAAAAAAGGATGCCAGAATCAGAAAAAACAAAAACAAAAACAAAAAACAACCAAAAAACGGGGAAGCGGCTACATGATAAAGTATTTGAACTTCTGCTTAAGAAAAGGGACATAACCAGGCAAAAAGCTATACACGTGAAGAATGGGAAATGAGAGGAAATGGCTATTGGTAAGGAAGGTGCCATTGTGGGTGATATCTTTTTTGCAAATTTTCATGATGTTACACTGTTTTCAATTTTTAAAAAGCACTTTAAAAAAAACAAGGCAGTGCAGGAAAACACACGTGGGAACAGAGTCAAGCGCACAGATGTTTTGCGTAAGCTGCATTTCAGAGACATCTGCCTTTGTGCAAGACTTGAAAAAGTAACGCTGTCGTCAACAAGTTCTCTAAAGTGAGGGGTGGAGCCTGAGAGAAAGTGAGCTGTGAAGAAACCAACAATTAGAATGCTTGGGGCTGAGAAACACATGGTTTCTTAGAGCAAGTTCCCCATTTCTGAGCCACCTCTGCCCAAAATGCTTGGCCATCAACAATGTCTACCACTCAAACAAGCTGCCCATATCTCCATTCAAGTGACTGAGGCTCTTTGTCAGCAGTGCCACTCAGCTCTTTGCAGAGACAGCTTATCTCTGGGGCAGATGAGATAGAGCACAACCTACTGTATAAAAATCTGAGTGGGAAGCAAGCTGACCTCCTCCTCTCTTCCTATTCCAATTCCAAATAAAAATGCTTATCATGTACAGAAAATTTCATGTAAAAGTGAAGATAATACACATTTTTCCGTCTATTGTCTTGCTTTGGTGTATGTTAAACTTTATTTCTGAATACTCCAAGGTCTATATTGTTTGCTTTTTTGTGTAAGGCAATGAAGAAAGAGTACATTCACAGTACTTTATATAGTGCCCAGTTTAATGCCACGTACAGTGTGATCTGAAAATAACAGTGATGATGTTGAAGACTCAAGCACACTTCAGAGGATACTCAAGTACGAAAGTCACTGTAAACCTATTTTCTGGTGTTCACATGCCATGTGTGTAAGCCCATATGTCTGCAACACAAACCACAGCCAGAGGCTGCCTTACTTGTTCTTGTTTGCAGCCTTCAATCACGCCTTATGCTAGTGGGGGAACTTCTACTGGTAAAAAGAACTTTCAACTTACTTGCAAAGTTCTCACAAAGTTCTATCTGGTGTCCTGTCTTGAACTTCCTTTTTCTGAGAAGTTGGGTGTGTTCTATGTGTTACTGTCCTACATCTGCCTTCTGGGTGAGTCAACTACAAAACATTCTAAAAACCTCTTGCTCAGACACAGTAGCCTCTTCTAGTTTCTATATAAGCTCCCCTTACTGCGAACATGACAATGGAGCTGATAATCTATAGGTTTACAAACATGTGTTAGGACAGAGCTACAGAAACTAATATTATCTTACTGCATGGTGAAAGTGAAGGAAGGGACACAGTAAAGATAAGGAGAGGTAAGCAGGGTAAAGATCTTAAGGGTCTTATATGAGATGCTATATAGAATTTGGACTTTACCTTGAGGATAACAGAGATCCAAAGTTTGCATTTCCACTAACTAAAGTTTGGAGAATAGATTGGAAGGGGTTCAGACTTAGAAATAGAGGGATAGATGTCACTTGAGTAGTCCAGGCAAGGGAATAGGGTGGTCTGAGCTGAGTTAATGGGAATAAAGAATAGATATTCGGGAATATTTGTCTAGTTTACTTTCTGGTACAGATGTAAATTTTTCCATAAAGAAATTTTAATTGTAAGAAAAACCTGAGTGAGAAAGGCCTTGTTATGTACAAATTCCTTGCACTCAAAGAATATCTTTCACTTTGCACCTCCTGACTCTTCAGACAGCCCCCCCGCCCCCCTGACCTCTTTAAAAAACACACACCAAATTCCAATGCTTTAAGACTCTTAGGCAGGAGGGTCAGAAGAAGTCTATTTACTTACATGGCTATTAACTCTCATACCACCTCCTTTTGCCCAAACTTTTCTCAAAATTTTTTTTCTCCTTACCATCTCTAATTTTTTTTTAAAGTTATTCTTTGTTAACCCTTAGATTTGGAGATCAAATCTGCCTTCACCTATCTGCCAGCTGACAGCCAATCATCCTGGACAAGCGAGGCAATCTTACAGGCAATTCTTCCTCATGTCACTTTGTTATCACACATGTCTATATCATTTCCTGTCAGGCACCAAAGTTCCAGCATCAAGGAAGAACAGCTGTAGAGAATGCTTTTACACAAAAGACTTCCCTCCTTCCTTACCCTCTATTCAACGGATATGACAATATACTGATGATATAGCCAGCACTCAAGTTAAATGAAAGATAATGCAACTAAGGGTTGAAACCACCATTTTAAACCAGTCATAAAGAACACAAACTTATTGTCTGAACATAGTAACTAGTAAAAGATGAATTAGAAACAAGAGGCCATCTTCACCAAAAGAGCATTGATAAAGAATTGCTAAGCAAGTAATGCTAAATCTCTCTAGTGCTCAGTCAAATTAAGTTACCCAACCCTAGCTGGTGTGGTTCAGTGGGTTTGAGTGTCATCCACACACCAAAAGGTGGCAGGTTCGATTCCTGATCAGGACACATATCTGAGTGATGGGTTCAATCCCTGTTGGGCCACATGCAGAAAGCAAACAAATGATGGATATTTATCTCCCTTCCTCTTTCTCTCACCCCTCCCTTCCTCTAAGATCAATTAATGCCTATTATTAAAGAACTAGAGGCCCAGTGCATGAAATTTGTGTACTCGGGGTGGGGTGTGTCCCTCAGCCCAGCCTGTGCCCTCTCGCACTCTGGGAGCCCTCAGGAGATGTCTGACTGACGGCTTGAGGCCCACTCCTCATGGGCCTAAGCCGTCAGTCTGACTTCCTTAGTGCTGTTGCAGAGGTGGAAGAGGCTCCTGCCACCGCCGCTGTGCTTGCCAGCCGTGAGCCCAGCTCAGAGCTTCTGTCTGGGTGGTACTCCCCCTGCGGGAGCGCACTGACCACCTGGGGAAGCTCCTGCATTGAGCATCTGCCCCCTGGTGGTCAGTGATGTCATAGTGACCGGTCATTCTGCTGTTCGGTTGATTTGTATATTAGCCTTTTATTATATAGGATATCTATAAGATAATTTTCATAGATAATTTTCCCATCTCTAAAATCAGTGGTTGTGTAAAACAGGTGCTAGATAATTTAAAAATAATTTATAGTACAGGTGAACCATAGGCTATCCCTATAGGAGAGGAATGGAGTAATTCTGGAGAATAAGATATATTTATTGTATATAGCACAGTAAAGTTATAACAGGTAACTACACTTCATACTTCTCTCCTACAAATAGGATATACTACACAAGATGCTAGAGTAAAACACGATGAAAAATATAAGGTGGCTGTACCAACCCTTTCCACAAATAAACTATCAGTTCTCAGATCACATTTTCATTGATTTGAGGGAGGCAATAAATAGTAAATACATACTTGGCTGGGACTCAAATGACCAGGGTTTTCTAATCCCAATATACCTATGGCCAGGTGACTATGAGTCAGTTTTAGCACATTAGACAGATTCTCTATTTACAAAAGAGGTTAGTATCTCACCTGCTACAGGGAAACATGTAAAAATGGAGAGGAAAAAGCATGGAACTGACAGTCAGATGACCTGGAGTTCTTACTCTGCCACTAATTAATCAGATCTCAATTTCTGCAAATAATGTTATAAATTCTCAAGCTTGGTAAAGGAGATTACTACTATGAACCTTAAAAGCACTCCATAAATTCAAGATAAGATCATCATATTTCTACAGTATTATAAAAAAATACCAATTAGGTTTTTCATAGTGGAAGAGATAACTCTCAAAGAAGGCCTCTAAAGGTTATATATCACAATGGGCCAGGCTGCTCTGCAAATGTGACTGTTAAGCCCTATAGTTTTATTTCAGTAACCAAATGGTTAATTTGTTCACTGGTTTCCTGCTGCTACTGGAAAATCTTTTTCTAGGGCAAAAAAGATCCTATCCATCCCCCACTCTGGTGTTGGTCAATTGAAAAATAAAGGGATGGGAAGCTGCTTTGGGTAGTTTTTTTTTTTTTAAATAAATCTTTATTGTTCATATTATTACAAAAGTTCATTTTTCCCCCTCCACCAGGTTCCCACCCCACCCTCTGCCCTTTCCCCACCCCCCCATTGTCCTCATCCATAGGTGCACAGTTTATGTTCAGTCTCTTCCTATACCCCCCTCTCCCCCTTTCCCCAAGAATCGTCAGTCCACTCCCCTTCTATACTTCTGATTCTATTATATTCACCAGTTAATATTGTTCATCAGATTTTTTTAATTTCCTTGGTTTTTAGATTCACTTGTTGATAGTTACGTATTTGTTGTTCATAGTTTTTATCTTTATTTAATTTCTCTTCTAAAAGAACCCCTTTCAGCAATTCATATAATTCTGGTTTGGTGGTGATGAATTCCTTTAGCTTTTTTTTATTAGTGAAGCTCTTTATCTGGCCTTCGATTCTGAGTGATAGCTTTGCTGGGTAGATTATTTTTGGCTGTAGGTTTTTGCTATTCATTAACTTAAATATTTCTTGCCATTCTCGTCTGGCCTGCATGGTTTCTGTTGAGAAATCAGCTGACAATCGTATGGGTGCTCCTTTATAGGTAACTACCTGCTTTGCTCTTGCTGCTTTTAATATTCTCTCTTTGTCTTTTGCTCTTGGAATTTTAATTATGATGTGTCTTGGTGTGGTCTTCTTTGGATTCCTTTTGTTTGGAGTTCTGTGTGCTTCCTGGACTTGTAAGTCTAATTCTTTCACCAGGTGGGGGAAGTTTTCTGTCACTATTTCTTTCAGTATGTTTTCGATATCTTGCTCTCTCTCATCTTCTGGGACCCCCATAATTCTAATGTTGGTTCGCTTGAAGTTATCCCAGAGGTTTCTTAAATCATCTTCAACTTTCTGGATTCTCTTGACTTCTTGCTTCTGTGGAGGAGTATCTTCTGGCTCTTTATGTTCCAAATCTTTGACTTGATTCTTACAATCTTCCATTTTGTTTTTAGGACTCTGTATAATATTTTTTAATTCAAACAATGTATTCTTTATTTCTTGTTGATCCCTTATTAGTTCTTTTTGATCCCTTATTAGTTCTTGTTGATCCCTTATTAGTTCTTGTTGGTCCCTTTTCATCTCCTCATAGGTCTTATCGACCTTTTCTAGGAAATTCTTAAAAAACCTTATAAGCGTGGTTTTGAACTCTATATCCAGTCTCTTCTTTTCCTCCATTTCTTTTGTTTGTGATCTAATTCCTTGTCTTGGGAATTTCACAGCTTCCCTGAGTTGGTAGGGTGGCTTTGTGTGCTAAGGTGTCCTATATGGTTCAGTGAGTCAGCCTCCCAGTTACCTGAGGTGGGCAGTCTTGGTGTAG